TTAAAAAAAAAAAAAAAAAAAAAAAAGTATTAGTACATATTATTTACTGGATACAATTTTCCTCCTGTTCTTTAATGTCATTGTAAGCCAAGAAAACTTCACCCCATGTTAACCTATTTCAGTGATACCAGTATAACAACACGTATAGCTATATATCCCTAACTGTTTTGACATAACTGTTTTCCTCTCTAATTTGATTTTTAACTCAGCTCTCTTCCCAAACGAACTCATCAAGAAAATCGGCAACTCTCATTTTCATCCTGTAACAAAACATTGAGGAAATGACCAACACTTTTTTTTCCCCAAATACTCTGGTCATCTAGAAACTCTGTACCTTTCTAGGTGTGTCCACCAGGCTCTAACTGCCTGGATTATCTAATCTGCATAGTGATAGCATGCTATTAATATTGGCTTCTTGACAGCCTTTGTCATAGCTCTCAAGTGAGAGCTTTACTATGTAGATCTTATCTGGTGAGTGATAAGAGAGATTCTTGTCTTTGCTGTTTGCCTTGGCTTAGCATGTTTACTTTCTTGAAAAGAGCCATCTGCAACTGATTTTTGCTTGTATTAGTCACTGAAGAGCAACAATGCATTTGTAGAGTGAGTGTATTTTCCACACACGTTTTAAGACAGATTATTACCTTGGGTACAATTTTGCATTTTCCTAAAATCTTCAATAATTTTTTTTCCTTAAGCTAGAAATTGAGCATATTGCAGGCTATAATATTGTGCGTGGATGTAGATCTTATTAGTCCAAGATCCTCTTCTGCTTACTACTTGAGAAAATACTTGAGGTATACATGGTGCCAGTGAGAACACACAATAGCAGTTAAAGCATGTGAACCAGAATGTCTGGGCTTCACTCTCAACTCTCCTAATAATTTGCTGTATGTCAGTCTTTAAAACACAAACAGTAAAGTTTACCAACTTCACAAGGGTCTTGTGAAATGTAAGTATAAAACTATAGTGAAAACCCTTGCATAAAAAAGGTATTGCTAATCTTTTTATTCACTGTGTTAAACTTCATTTAGAAATACCTGAGAGTGAATTTGACATGTTTGTTACTAGTGCCTGTAATTACAATTTTAACACAGTCACATGAGTTCAAAAGCTTCTTTACTGCTTTTTGTTTGCTTGTGTGTGTTTTCTGGCAGGTTGGAAGAGATTTTGGATATTTTCCAAAGGATTTACTTGAAATAAATCACAATTATTCCAACGAGGAGCTAGAATTACCAACAGATGTAAGTTTTATTTGTTATTATTTTAATTGGGCTTCTTACTGTTTCTTACCTCAGCATTCAGTAAAATCCCTGAGGAGGGGAATGGGTATAATGGTGATTATTAGTTACCTTGTGTTAGTAAGCAGCTACATGATGTCTGGGCATGCACATATGTGTCGGGAGTGGAATGTTTGTGCAGCTATGTATGTGGATGGGTGTGTAAGTATCAGTCCAGAATGTGGGCATTGATCTTCCTTTTCTTTAATATTCTGGTTTTCTTCTCACAAAATCTGTTTGGATTGAGCTCTAGAAATGCTGCTAGCTGGCTTGCATATAGGCTGTTTGGCATGTATTCAGAATTGTTTCTTTTCCTAAACTTTTGAAGTTTAAAGTATTGTCAGAAACAAAATCAGAAAACCTGATACGCTTAGCCCTTTGATGCTAGTATTGGTCCTTCAGCCCTTACACACATAAATATCTTTCATGCACTAATAGCTAGTAACTCCAGAGTTACGTGAGTAAGGCCTGTTTGTGGATGCAGCTTCAGACCTTTATGAAATCTTGTTCAGTGGCTTGTACTGCTGTTTAATTACTTTTTCAGAAATTGTATGACAGTGGCTCCTGCTTGGAGGACTTAGTCATTTGAGGAGAGACCAGCTAAAAGAGATTGTGACAAAAAAGCTTAGCGATGTTTGTTTTCTTCTCCTTGCTGACATTCAGCAATAGACTTGTTCTTAACTCGGGATATATGTGATGAGTAAAGTATAATACTGTCAACTCCATGGCTAACTTCCAATTTGTTCCTCACTGGGAGGTCTTTGACAGGACTAAACCATAAGATTTTTATTTAGGTTTTTAAGAGAAGCAAAACTGACACTGATTTCAAAGACAGTTTTGGTTAAAGACTCAGGGGGTTAATTCTGCACAATTAGTATAATTTACTTTGCTGCTGCATCTCTCTCTCTAACCATCCTGGCTTTGGTCCCATTGCAGTAACAAAAAAATAAAAATTGTGACTATCTATTGTTTTTCATTTCAGGAAACAGACTTTGTTTGCTTTGATGGCGGAAGGGATGATTTTGATAATTATAATGTGGATGAGCTTTTGAAGTCATTGCAAGAGACAATATCAAATGAAGAGGAAACTGAATCAAGTGATCCAGGGACAAAGCCAGCTGAAGGAATTGAAAGGGATGAGGAGATTGGACAGGTTGATACAGTAAAGTCCCCTGATGCTTTGGAGACAGACAATCTTGAGATGACAAGCACACGAGATGTCAAGGAAGCCCTCTCCATGACAGAGGAAGTAGACAGTTCTCTTACAGAAGGAACTGAAAATACTGGGGGAGACTCCAGTGTCAGTAGTCACAAAGAAAATTCTCAGGGAGATCAAATTGCACACGAGCACTTGAAAGGAATGCTACACGGGAAACTAAAAGGGCTAGAAAGTGAAAATACCAAAAACACTAGTATTCCTCAGGGTGAAACCAGTCAACTTGACACAGAGAATGAAGAAGTCAATGCCTATACGCTCTTAAACAGAGAACTCTCTATGAACTTGAAAACAAAATTTGGCTCAACTGCTGATGCTGTTGTATCAGATGATGAGGTGACTCGCCTTGTTACATCACTGGAAGATGATTTTAATGAAGATTTGAGTGTTAATGCTCATGATGCAGATGAGGAGCCAGACTTTGCAGATCAGTCTGAAGAAATTCCTTTGCTGTCTTTTATGGCAGAGGACAAAATTACATCCCCAGCGGATTTAGAAGATGATGAAAACGATGACATTGACTCACAAAATTATGAACTTGATGAAGATGCAGAGGGTGCTACAGAGCTAAATAACCAAAGAGACTATGAGGAAGAACCTGATTCAGATGCATTATTTCTTAAGGATGCCTTAAGTAAGAGTGACAAGTCGGCTGACAGCATAAGTGTGGACAGGTCCAAATCTAAACAAATAGAAGAGAAACAGGATGAAGTGATGCTAATTAGCAAAAGAGAAGCACCAGCAACAACTCAACCTGAGGATCTCTCCAAAGAACCACTTAGAAAGGAACCTGTAGGTACAGGTGGTCTGGATTCAAAAGAAAAAACAAACAAAACTGAACAGTTTAAAGAGCAGCTTCCAGCTGATGGAACTGAGTCCCTTACTGAAGAGCTGAAGAGCACAACTGCGCCTGATCCTCATGTTTTGCCTAGTCCAGGAGGTAATCTGGAGTCCAAATCATTTGTTAAAAGTAAGCAAGATGCTTTAAAACCATCTCTCGGTGATATCAACCAAAGCCCAGAAAGAGCACCACTTTCTCAAATAGAGAAAGATGAGAAAAACTTTGAGGATGACACCTTGGAAGAGGTCTTGGAAAGTGATTTAAAGCACAAAAAGCTATGGGAGAAACCAAAGGAGAAAGGAAGAGCTGAGAACAAGCCCTCTGTTGATGTTCCAGCCAAACCAGTGGAAGAGGCAAAAAATGCATCTCAGAGTGACTTAGGAGATACTGACCTCTTGAAAGAGAAGCTAGAGCGTGGAATGCCCACTGTGGAGAAAGAAATTCTAAGACATGAAGATTTGAAACAAACAGAGGAGACCGATCATGAAAATCAAAAAACCACCTCTCTTAACAAAGAACCTGAAATAAAAATGAGAAACATGAAAGAAACCCCTGCAGGGGAGGGAGACCCAAGCCATAGAGGAGCTGTTGAGCAACCTAGGCCATGGGAAAATGAGACTGAGTATTCAGAGGCAGATATGATAGAAGAGCTTTCAAGAAATCTTGGCAAGATGACAGTATTTGAAGAAAGCATTGAGAGAAGTTCCCCTGAAGAAAAATCCAAAAGCACTACACAGAATACTAATACAGACAGTCTTACTCAGCAAGGAACTGCTCGTACTGAGGATGCAGATTCAGACAGAAATCTTGGCACAAATTTAGCTAAAGGAAGAACACTACGATCAGAACTGCAATCTGAAGAGCCAGATGCTGAAGACGACCCTGACCTGAAACAAATAGAGGAAGAGCTACTGGAAGATGAGAATGCTGCAAGTGCACAGTTGTCACAAGCAAGGGCTGCAAATGTACAGGGTGATACACCAAATGTTAGAAGTAAAAACCCTGAACTAGGTAAAGCTGTTCTGAGAACAGGAAATCCTACTTTCAAAGCAGGAGAGGAAACAAACTCATTTTCTAAGGAGACTAAAAAGACTATCACCATGCAAGACGCAAGTAAGACTGGGAACAAAGAGGTTGATGTACCAGTGAGTGAAGATGCTAAATTGGATGAGATGGAACATGTCACAGAAGATTATGAGTCTTCTGAAGCTGAGGAACCATCAGCTGTGGCAGAACATAGCTTCCAGTCTCCTGACACAGAAGACAGCAATGACTTTACTCAAAGGAAAGACCATTTCCCAGAGGGTATTTCGCAGAAGGACTCAGAAGACGTGCAAAATTTAGAGCATGTAAGAAATGATCACCAGCAATCCGCACATCTCCCCAGCCCTGCTGACAGCTCAGCAGCCACAAGTGACACTGTAACAGACTTCAGTGAGTCTGTGAAGCGGCTCACAATAATGAGAGATTTTCTCGATGAAAAGCGTGTAATACGTCTACAAAAGTACCTTGGGCTTCAACACATGTTTAGGTTAGAAGCCATGTTTCATGACATGAAGGTAGAGATGGAACTTGCTCGGAAGGCAAGCCATAATAATGAGGATATAGAAAAAGCTTTGGACCTGATTCTTGAGTTTTCAGAATCAAGCATTATGGATGTTGTAGGAAAAATTCTGGATTCCAAAGTGGCAGAAAATAAAGAGGAGGTGGTGAAAGAGATGGATTTGTATGATGAGGAGAGCGCACTGATGGATGATATTCAAGAATTAATGTATTCTTTAAGGAGTAAATATTCATCTGCCGGTGAGAGTGTCCCACTGGCATCTTTTCCAGAACAGGAAGATGATCAGTTGCATGTTCAAGGTAGGATGTTAAACCAGCTAATTAAAACCCTATCCCAGACAACACTATGTAACCCAGAGAATCTTTAAGAAGAGGGTGAGGGAGCAGTATTGAAAGATGCCCAGTGGGAGAAATTTGATTATTTTTAATGCATATTTTCAATGCATATTTTCAGCACTGTGATGGGTGGCTCAGGGACAAATCTGAAAAAATGTTGACTTCAGCACGTCTGTTCTTATGGGCCAGGTTCTGTGTAAGATAAGTGTGATGTGTGCATGGATATGGCCGTAAGGAGCCATTCAGGTCATGTTTATAGCTCCTCCTCTCAGGAAATAGGGATTCACATAATTACTAATGTGCTGAATTTTCTGGAGGGTTTAGAGCAGTCTTTTCTTCTGAATTAGCTAGCACCTGATTGTGAGAGATACAGTGATTAGTGCAAAGTTCAGGCACAAAACCCATGCACCTAAAATCTCAGGTGTCCCTATCATCATTTTTTTTCCCACATTCATAAAAGAGAGCATAAGTAAAAATACTGAACAAACAGATCTTTTGATGGGGAAAGAACCAGTGGTGGAGTCTGCTGCAAACTTGTTGTTTTTTCTGATTAATGTGCAAGGTGGTAAGATATGCTCTTAGCAAGGCTCCTTTTACAGCAGTACGTGTTAAGTATGTGATTTCTGATCTAGTCACAAATGATGAAAATATTTCACCTTGCAATATTTCATTGCAAGGTCAGTGGTTGATACCTTGCATAAATTCCATATAAACATTCTGTTACATGCTACTGAAAGTTGATTGAGACTATATTGGAAGCAATGCACAAGCTGAAGTTTTTAAAAAGTGTAAAGAAAGCTTTGTCAAATGCAGCATTTCACTGGAGACAGTAGTGGGTAAGAAATACGCATTAGTTCAGTGCTTAATTCATGTCTTCCTGTCTGTCACAGATGGTGCAAAAGAGGCTGAATATGACACGGTTTCCATCATTAATGCCGTTGATGAGATCAATCAGGAATTTCAGCAGCTTGAAGATAAGAGGCCAGAACAGCTTACTGAGGAGGAGGAAGAGAGGGCTGTTGATGTTCCACCTGAACATGAAGAGGCCAACTTCTCCCCTGAAGAAGGGTATGATAGTGAAAGAGGATTGCTTCTGGAAGATATTTCCTTTGGGTCAATTGATTCAGGACAAAGTGCCAGGGAAGATATTGCTGCAGGTAATCTTTTGGAGCTGTGTTTTGTTCTTTTGCTTTTATAGCAGCATGGTGGAATGGTTTTCAGGCAAATGTCAAGGCTTTTCACCAATATATTCACTGTATGTTGCTGTAATCCTAATGGTTTTCACTAATCCATGGCAGTCCCTCTAGTGGCAGTACTGTCTTGCTACCACTCATCTCAGCAGAGAGGTTTCTCCACTACCTTTTTTTGCACTATGGAAATAAGAAAAGTTCTGTCATAATCAGAGCTCTATGCTTGGGCTGGTGGACTCTGTCTCAGGATGGTAGTGGATAAAGAGGAGAAATCAGCAGAAGCATACCATCAGCCCAGGTGCTCTTCTCCTTGCACAGGGACTGACACACTAATCATCAGGTTATAGAATCGTGCTCTCTCTTCCCGCTCTTTTTAACCTGTGACTCTGGGCTATATTACTTTCCAGGAAAGATGGAGCGTAGCTTCCCTCAAGCAGTTCAGTAATTTCTGGCTAAGACAAGTGTGCTGACCTGTGCTGGCTTGTTATGTCGAGGGATCTGATTATTATCATCTTCCCCAGCTCTGTTTTGGCATGAAACTACCTTTGACTTCATTCTTGGTGCTAAGCTCAGCTGTTCTGCATTCACCTCTGATCATGCTTAATAAATCTGTATTCACTGAGACTTTAGAAAAAATTCAGGCACATCTTGCTTAGCTGTTGTATGCTGCTGTACCATCCCCATAGCCAAGCACTTCTGAGGAGCTTCTAAGTTCTGAGGGAAACTCTACGTTGAATGTAAAGATACTTAATGAATTTTAAATGGCTGCTGGATTAGTCATGCACTTAAGCAGTTGGATGTTCAATTGTACTTTAGACCATCTTCTATTCTTTCCTCACTTGTGGTGGTTAAACGCTGTTTGCCAGGAATTCCTGTGAGGACTGTTAGAAGTGCTGAGAAGAAACAGTGCAGATGCTTGTACAGTCAGAGAAGCTGTCGCACAACATAACAGTATGCTGGGCAGGTGGTTGGTTTGTATCTGTTGACCTGAATTCATGGCAACTGTAGTAGTGAGAAGAGGAAGCAGGCTTCAGATAGGGGTAGAAGTAAAGGCGGTTTTAAAGCTTATGCTGTACTAACAGTGCTGTGAACTTATGAGAAGAGGTAGGATTGTTGACAGAGTTGGAGCGTGTGCTTTTCTGTTGCTGACTCGCCACGGAAGGAGTTGTAATTGCTTGCTCTGAGGCAGGTTTGCCCAAGAGACTTTGCGTATGTGTCCCTCTCTGCTGTTCCTTTTCTAAAGCAGCCTGTGGAATATCGCTGTCCTTTCTAAGGACTTTTGCCAGGGCACCGAGGAAGCAGGCAGACTGGGGACCGTCATTTAAAATATCACCTAAGATGCCGCAGAAACCGCGGCGGGGGGGGGAAGAAGCAGCGGG